TAAAAAAACAAATTTGGGATGGGGAAAAAGGATGTGAGATGGAGAGTAAAGGATCAGCCCACCAGGAGGAAATAAAGCCTCCACAAAGGATGACTGGGTGATAAACAAAAGATGATTCTTTCTTCCCTCCACTTTTTAAATATATGATCTATATCTACGTACTGTCACTGTCACTGTCCTCCCATTGTTCATCGATTTGCTTGAGCGGGCCCAGTAACATCTCCATTGTGACACTTGTTACTGTGTTTGGCATATTGAATACATCATGGGTAGCTTGCCAGGCTTTGCTGTGTAGGCGTGATGCTCTCGGTAGCTTGCCAGGCTCTGCGAGAGGGGTGGAGGAATCAAACCCAGGTCGCCTGGGTCGGCCGTTGCAAGGCAAATGCCCTATCCGCTGTGCTATGTAATACAAAATTATTGTAATATTGAATTGCAAAATATTTTGTATCTTTAGGTTTAAAAACATTTTTAACAACAGGATGGTAGGATTGCTAAAAGTTTCTTCCAGGGGCTAGAGCGATGGTACAGCGGGTAGGGCATTTCCCTTGCACGTGGCTGACCCGGGTTCAATTCCCAGCATCCCATATGGTCCCCCAAGCACCACCAGGAGTAATTCCTGAGTGCAGAGCCAGAAATAACCCCTATGCATCGCCGGGTGTGATGCAAAAAAAAAAAAAAGCGAAAAAAATGTTAAATTTAAAAACTAAATAAAAGTTTCTTCCAATGTACATGGAATAGTTTTCTAATTATTGAGTGTTCCTTGATCCAGAATGTGCAGCATGAACATTAGATGAACACCTAAGACATGATACAGAGAGGTGGAACTGAAAAATCTAATAAAAGGGCTGGACTGACAGCACAACAGGTTGGGCATTTGCGCTGCATGTAGCTGACCCAGGTACGACTGCTCACATCACATATGGTCCCCCAAGCACTGACTGGGCACAAGTTAATCCCTGAGCACTGCCGGATATGACCCAAAAAGAAAAAAAAATCAAAAGAAAAGAAGAACCATCAATTCCTAACTTCCAGGCATATAGAGGGGCTCCTGCTGGACTGGCCACCCCAACATCAAGAACTGGAAAAATGGATAAAATGTATTAAATTAGTAGGCATAGTCGGGAATAAGAGCCAATGTAGAACAGTGATTCCTGAGAAATGAAAAACAGAGAAGTGATTCCTGGAGGCCTCTGGGGGATTTTGTAGAATATAAAAATGTCTCTGATGGGGGGCTGGAGCGATAGCACAGCGGGTAGGGTATTTGCCTTGCATGCAGCCAACATGGCTGACCCAGGTTCGATTCTCAGCATCCCATATGATCCCCCGAGCACTGCCAGGAGTAATTCCTGAGTGCATGAACCAGGAGTCACCCCTGAGCATCGCTGGGTGTGACCCAAAAAGCAAAAAAAAAAAAATGTCTCTGAATTACAGAAGATGAAGACAATTGGAGGGCAGAGCTTCAGAGAAGAGAATCCTGTAAAAAGTTATCCATGGGGTCAAAACTGATTAAACAGTATACTTCTGCTGTGTGTTAATTAAATGCAAACAATTTATATGTAAATTATACCCGGGGGGGGGCATATCCAGTGGTACTCAGAGCTTACTCCTGGCTCTGTACTTAGGAATTACTCCTGGTGGTGCTGAGGGGATCATAGGGGATGCTGGGGATCAAACCCTCATTAGCCATGTACAAAGCAAGCACCCAACCTGCTATACTATTTCTCTAGCCCCAATAAAGTTTATTTTAAAAACATTATTATTATTGGGGCTGGAGCGATAGCACAGCAGGTAGGGCGTTTGCCTTGCACACAGCCAACATGGCCGGCCCGAGTTCAATTCCTCCGCCCCTCTCGGAGAGTCCGGCAAGCTACCGAGAGTATCTCGCCCACACGGCAGAGCCTGGCAAGCCACCCGTGATGTATTTGATATGCCAAACACAGTAACAACAAAATCTCCAATGGAGACGTTACTGGGCCCGCTCGAGCATTATTGGCAACTATCGCCCAATCTGCCTATTGTCTGTCATCTACAAGTTGTTCACTCGAGTCATCCTAAATAGGATTGGCAGAACACTACATGAAGGACAACCATGCGAGCAAGCCGGGTTCCGCAAAGGATTCAGCACCATCGACCATATCCACACGATAACCAAGCTCATTGAGGTTTCTCGGGAGTTCAAGATGCCGCTCTGTTTAACGTTCATTGATTTAAAGAAGGCCTTTGATTCTGTTGAGACGGAAGCGGTCATTGAAGCCCTAGCCAATCAGGGCATTCAAGCCCAATACATCAGGATCCTCCATGAGCTGTATTGCGGATTCACTACCAGGATCTCACCATTCTACAAAGAAGTGATCGTTGATGTCAAGAGAGGGGTGCGGCAGGGTGATACCATTTCACCGAAACTCTTCAGTGCCACCCTCGAGAACATCATGCGACGACTGGAATGGGAAGAAATGGGAGTGAAGATAGATGGTCGGCAACTACACCACCTCCGCTTTGCTGATTACATTGTTTTAATAACACCAAACATCAGCCAAGCGGCACAAATGCTGGCCGACTTTGACCGTGAGTGTGGAAAGGTAGGACTACAGCTGAATCTTATGAAGACAATGTTTATGAGAAACAGCCTTGTTCCTGATGCCCCATTCGCTCTCAATGGAACGACCATCTCCGAATGCAACAGCTATGTGTACCTAGGTCGAGAAGTCAACATGACAAATGACCTGGCACTCGAGCTGCGCAGGAGGAAGAGAGCGGCTTGGAACGCCTTCAAGAACGTTGAAGAAATAGATGAGAGGACGAAGAACCTCCGGCTCCGGGCACATCTCTTTGATTCCACTGTTCTTCCTGCATTAACATATGCCTCAGAGACCTGGGCCCTATGTAAACAGGATGAGAATGCTATTCGGGTCTCCCAAAGAGGAACTGAAAGAGCTATGCTTGGAATATCACGCTTCACTCAAATGAGAGAAAGAATCCGGAGTTCCGACCTCCGTCGACGATCAAGAATCAGGGACGCTGTCTCGTTTGCCAAGGTGTCAAAAATCAGATGGGCTGGTCACGTAATGAGATTTAAAGACGACCGCTGGACTAGAGCTGTTACCGACTGGATCCCACGGGATGTCAAAAGACCGTGCGGCCGCCCACCTACCAGATGGTCAGACTTCTTCATCAAGATCATGAACGATCGATTTGAGGCTCTTCATGTTCCCAGAGTGAACAGATGCCATTGGGCTACACTGGCACGCGACAGGGACGAATGGAGACGTTACTGGCGCCCGCTCGAGCAAATTGACGACTAACGGGAAGTTAAGTGATTATTACTATTATCATTAAGAAACGGGATGGCGTAGAGCAATAGTACAGTGGGTAGGGCACTTGGCTTGCACACGCCAAACCCAGGTTTGAACTCCAGAATCCCCTGTGGTTCCCTGAGCACCGCCAGGAGTAATTTCAGAATCCAGAGCCAGGAGTGAGCCCTAAGCACCACTGGATGTGACCACTTCCCCAAAAAGGGAAACTAACAGGGGTTCAGAGAGATAATAGAGCAGGTAGGGTCCTGGCACCACATAGGGTCCCTAGAGCACTGCCAGGGGTCACACCTGAGCACAGGAAATGCCCTTAACCACCACCAAATGCGTTAACACCCCTCCACAACCCCACACACACCCCAAAAAGAAAAATTAAAAGAAGAAAGAAAAATGAAACACATATATCCAATCTCTATTAAAGAAAATGAACCTACTACCAAAAATTCCCCAAAAAGAAAACTCCAAGTCCAGATGTTTTCTCAGTGAGTTTATCAGACATTTAAGGGAAAAATAATACAAACTTTACAAAAAAAAAAAGAAAGAAATATTTTCAGTTCTCTTTATGAGAACAGCATAACCCTCACTTAATCCTGAAAAGACATCACAAGGAAAGATGATTAGATAAATGTAAAATATAGAAATATGGAAAGGAATAATACATTCAAGTGAGGTTATAAAAGGTCAGCGTCATGTTTCGTGTCTGTGTAATGTGACATGTCAGCAATGAAAGGATAAAGGTGATCACTCGATAGACACAGGAGAAGCATTCCACCAGATTCAGCACATTCTTGATGAACACACTCAATTCTGTTTAGAGTGTGAGAAACATCACATCTGATCTATACCTAAAGTCAGCCCAGGCAAGATACCGGCTCATACCACTTGACTTCAACATTTTACCAGGAGCTCTAGTCAGTCCAATAAGGAAACTTGTGACATGCAAGTCGGGGGCAGGACAGATAGTATAGCAGGGAGGGCGCTGGCCTTACACACGTCAGACTCAAGTTGGATCCTCAGCATCCTATAGGGGCCCCTGAGCACCACCAGGAGTAATTTCTGAGCGCAGAGCCAGGAGTAACCCCTAAGCACCGCTGGGTGTGACCCACAAAATAATAATGATCATCATCATCATAAAAATAATATACAATCATAAAGGAAAATTAACTTAGAGCAGGACTTGGTGTTCCCTGAGCACAACCCAAGCACCAAACCACCAGGCCTGTCCCACTGAGTATCTCTGAGTATCTCCGGGACGAGACCAAAATAAGAGAAAGTGGCGCCAAGGCGCAGGTCAGTTCCCAAGTTGTAGCTGAGCGTTGCCTGCGCTATGCTGGGGACCAGGTGTCCCCACTCTCTGTGCACCGTCCTGGCCAGAGCTGGGCCCAGACCGTGGGAAGGGCAGACTTCAGGAAGAGACCACAGGGTGAGGCGGAACCGCGGCCACCCTCAGCCCCTCTACTTGAAGCTGGTGGCCATTCATCTGCACAGAAACTTCTCAACTGTACCAGGCAGGTGCCCAGCCCCATGCTCTGATTGGCCCTGCCCAGTCCCGCCCAATGCTCCCTGCCCCGCCCATTTCCTCCATCCTGTGCTCCGATTGGCCCAGCCCAGGCCCCACCCCAATGTTTGATTGGCCACGCCCACTCAGCAGCCGTAGGAGGCCCCGCCCCCAGGTGTCCAAGAACTCACCCTCCTCGCAGTTGCTCCCGGTAAAGCCAGGGCAGCACCGCCACTCTAGTGCCGTCACCGTCCGGTAGGATACTCTGTAAGTGGGTCTGATGAGAGTCCTGTAACTAACACAAGGGCAGAGTCAGGACGCTGGGGCCGCCATCCGCCCCACCAATGCCCCCACACCTGCCCAGAGCTAACCCTGGACAGACCATCAGCCAGCTCTGCACCCAGGGTTGGCCAGAAGCTCGGGACAAGTGACCACTCTGATGCACGTTGGCTCTGAAGTGCCCGCCTCAGGGGCCTGAGCGGTAAATTCCATGGGATTCCCGCATCCCATGTGCCCCACCACCCCCGCACCTCCACCCACAGCCTCCCAGGAGTAATTCCCAAATGTGAGCCAGTAATAACCACAGGGCACCGCTGGGTGTGACCTAAATGAATGAATGAATGAACTAAGAGAAGAAGTGCCGCCTCCCGCCTCCTGCAAGGCTTCGGCGTGCTTTCCCGCGACGGGAATGCCCTGAGCACCCACTGTCCCGGCGGCGGAATTGTGACGCCCCCCAAAAAAAGAATTCATATACTGGAGCCCTTTTCCCCTATCCGACTCTATCTGAGAGGCTGCTCAGGAAGGTGGAAGGAGGCTGGACACAGGCATCTAAGGCAGTGTCCTCCGAGGTCAGGCAAGGCGAGGAGAGCCGGCTCATCCAGGAGCGCATGCACAGCAAGGCCCTCGCTCTGCGGGGCACGAGGGGCAGCCGCGATCACCCCTGTGGGCATTTTGGTGCGAGGCCTGTAGCTAAGACAGAGGCCGAGAAGATGAAGAGGAAGAGAAGGACCCCAACGCAGACTCCTCACTGGACCCCTGTGACCTGGACCCGGCCGCGACTCCGAGCACCGTGTCCCACCACGGTTCCCACGGCAAGTCCTCCTGAGCCTATTACGCCGGAGTCACGGCTTGATCAAACTGGGTCTCCGGTCCTGGACTCAGCCCTAGCAGCCGTGAAAGGAACATCTCCCCATCCCCCACCCCCAAGCCTCCATCCTCGCAATATCCCACCTGCTGGAGTTGGTTCCTACTGCTGCCTGGGTACTCTTCCCCGAACAGGCGCAGGGACAAGGACATCTAGTTCCAGATCCAGAGCAATAGTACAGAAGGTAGGGCGTTTGTCTTACACACAACCAGCCCCGGATCGATCCCCCAAGCACCACCAGGAATAATTACTGAGTACAGGGGCCGGAGAGATAGCACAGCGGATAGGGCGTTTGCTTTGCACACAGCTGACCTGGGTTCGATTCCCAGCATCCCCTATGGTGCCCTGAGCACCGCCAGGGGTAATTTCTGAGTGCAGAACCAGGAGTAACCCCTAAAAAAGTCTAGCTCCATAAACTCATTCATTCTTCACCAAGCACACATGACTCTCGTGGTACTGCTTGATCTAGGTGGCAACACACACACACACACACACACACACACACACACACACATCACTGGCACCAGTGGCTTAGAGAGTGCAGGAAAAAGCTGGGAGTAAGTGGGTAGCTGCAGGAATGAGCAGGCAACTGGGGATTGAGAGGGCAGCTATGGTGTGAGTGGGTAGCTGTGGGGTGAGTGGGCAGCTGCGGGGTGAACTGGAAGCTTCCGGGTGAGAGGGCAGCTGTGGGGTGAGGGCGGCTGTGGGAGTGGTGTCTGCACAGTCACTGCTGGATGGGAAACATACAGGCCACACGTGAAATTCCCTAAACACTGTGGAGAATCCTCTCCTCATTTCTCTTTCCAACAGATCCTCATCTTTGTAAACATTCCAGCAACCAGTTCCCCTGCAGAGCTAAGAGCTAGGGTGTGTGCGTGCGTGTGTGTGTGTGTGTGTGTGTGTGTGTGTGTGTGTGTGTGTGTGTAGTATGTGTATATGGTGGGGGTGGGAGTGTAAGCACAGCAGGAAACTTCCAGTGAGGAGGCCAAGGTCAGCTGGGAGGAGAAGCCCAGACTGGCAGCTGAGCACAAACCTGGGCGTCTGACCCCCAGGTGCCCCCAAAGCAGTAGGCATAGCACACGGGGGTCAGTGGTGACCAGTACCGGCCTCACTGCTCTGGACAGCAGGGAGCGAGGGGTCCAGATAGATTGTACAAGAAACGCACACTCAGCTGTCACCCACGGTCACCCACACGCATACTCACATCACACGTACTCACACATTCACATCACATAGCCTCACACACATACACACATACACACACACTCAGCCATCACACACACTAACACAGCCGGCCTTGGAAGGGGCTACAGGCCCACCAGTAGGTGGTGCTGTTTCATTAGCCCAGAGGGCAGGGACTCTGCCCCTCTGAGGGCCAGGGGCTCCCCAGAGGAAGCCTGGGCCGAGTCAGGGTGAGAACCCCTGGGTGCTCCATCACTACAGAGACTTCCCTACAAATCCAGAGACCTTAATCCAGTTCTGTGACTGCCCTCTCCCAGAACTTTCCATAGCTCCCAAAGACCAAACTCTCCGTCCGCTTCTCTTCGCTCCCCTCTCCGAGCCACCAGCAGCTGGGTCTCCTATCGCAGTTGTTCTTCCTCTCCCAGGGCCTTTGCACATGCAGCTCCTCTGCCTTCTTCCTTGATGCTGCCAGAGGAGAATTCCCAATAGCCGACAGACTGTCTCTAATGTCTTTCCTCTGAAAGACTCTTCCCTTGGTGGGGGCTTCAGAAGCACCCTCCTCAGCCCCCACGTAGAGTTTGGTGGTTCCCCCATTCCTACACTCAGCTGTTGGTCCCAGGGCCCTCCATGTGCCAGACACTGGGGATAGGAGAGGGGAGTGGGCGTGGGCTCTGCTCAGCTGGAGCTTGGAACACAAAGCACATCACCACGGTAGTGACAGTAAGTCCGAAGGCAAACACTGGGCACATCCCTAGTGCTAGATTGACATGTTTGACTTGAGCGGTGAGTCAACCTTTACCAACGTGTTCCACCAACGTTGCCGGTACTCACTAGGTTCCCGTTACTGGGCCCCAGATGGCACCATTCTGCCGAGGAACCTTGCCAGAGATTTGTGTTGCCTGACCTGGAATTTCACGTTTCACTTGTATCTCTGGGGAGCGGGAGTGATAGGAGTGTGGGGAGTGTGTTTGTTTTGCACGCAGCCAAAATGATTCAATCCCCAGTGCCCATCTCGTCCCCGGAGCCTGCCAGGAATGATCCTTGAGCGCAGAATCAGGAGCACTGCTGGATGTGTCCCCAAAAAACAAACAAACAAATGACATGATGTGTCTCTGTGAGGCTCGTCCATGTGAGGAAATGTAACAGGATTGTGTTCCTTTTCTCTGCTGAGTAATATTCCCTTACAGACATATACCACATTATCCACTCTCCTATTGGATGTTTAGATTGTTTCCAGTTTTGAGCTGTGATACCCAAATATGCTCTGAGCTTTCTCGTGTCAGTATTTGTGAGCATGGGCTTCTTCTGTTCCTCTAGTGTGTCTACCTAGGAATGGACCATAGGATAGCTCTCTGGTTCCACTGGATCCACCCTGTGCACAGGTTCCCAAGCAGCTCAGATGAAGATCCCTGTGCTTTGCAGCAGTTCCTATGCCCTGCACCCTTGCCGACATTGATCTTGTCAGTGCTTTCTATTTTTGACACATGAGGGCATATGTCACTCTGCCATTACAATTCTTGTTTCCATTTTTGCTAACTAAAATTGAGTCCCTTTATGTGTTACTTGAATATCATCTTTGGTGAAGGAGCCCGTGTAAGATTTTTTGCCCATTTTTAAATTGAGTTTTGTGTCTCTTCCTAATTGAATTGGAAGCAGGCATGTTCTCTACAGCTCATCTCTGTCAGCTGTCTGGAGAGCTGGTGCTTTCTCCCCCTCTGAGACTCTCCTTTTTCATTTTCTAAAATCAATGTGTATGACAGTCAGCTTTCAGCTCCAATAAAGTCCAATTTCATCATTTAAAAAATTTTAGGGGTGGGGCCAGAGCTATATAGTACAGTGGGTAAGATGTTTGCCTTGCACACGGGTTCAATCCCCAGCATCCCATATGGTCCCCTGAGCACCACCAGATGAGATTCCTGAGTGTAGAGCCAAGAGTAACCCTTGAGCATCGCTGGGTGTGACCCAAAAAGCAAAAATAAATAAATAAATAAATAAATAAATAAATAAGGGGACCGGAGTGATAATGCAGCAGGGAGGGCATTTGCCTTGCATGAGGCTAACCCACGTTCGATCTCCAACACCCAGATGACTCCCTGAGCAGCACCAGGAGTGATCCTTGAGTGCAGAGCGAGGAGATGTTTGCCTCGCACACGGCCAACCCAGGTCCAAATCTCCACTCCCCTTATGGTCCCCCAAGCATTACCAGGAGTGGCCACTGAACTCAGAATCAAGAGTAAGCCCTGAGAACAGCTGGGTGTGACCCGAAAACAAAACCGAATATTCTATTATTTGATGAGGAGGAATCAAAGTTCATTCTTCTCCATGTGGAGTCAAGTCACTTGTGACATTGCTGAAAAATCCTTACCCTCTCTGAGTTGCTTCGTTCTCTAACCTGCTGGCAACCAAATGCGTGCCTGTTCCTGTCGTCCTCACCTCTTGTTTTCTCCATGTACCCAAACCTCATTCTTTTTTCTTTTCTATTTATTTTTTGGGGGGGCCACCCCCAGTGGTGCTCAGGACATACTCTCAGAGCCTCAGAGTGCAGAGCACACAGGCAGTTACTCCCCACCCCTGCCGGCCCCAGAGGCAGTTAAGAACGGAGACGCACGCAGCCAGTGTGGGATGGGTCCCCGGCGTCCCCTATGGTTCCAGCCTCCGAACCACGTTCTTCATATAGATTCACAGCGGCTTTGACACCTGCTGATGGGCCTCCTCCAATTTCATTCTCCTTTAAGGTTTTCTGGATGCTTCAAGGCCCTTCGCATTCCCCGAGCTTCTTCAATGGGCTTATAGAGCTCTGCCCCCAAAGCCCACCGTGATTCTGAACATGACTCACGTGGACACAGTTAGCACTGTAACGTCTTCTCCTGCACGAGCACGGTCTAGCTTTCCTTTTTTCAGTCTTTTTTCAGCAGTGCTCATGTCTGTCAGGGTGGGGTTGGTGGAACGGGTGGGGTGTTGGGCCACTC